TGGAGAGATGACTGGACAAAGCATATAAGTTAAGCTTCTCTTTCGTTCTTAATTCCATGTAGGTCGAGAATATTTAAGGAGATGACTGGACAAGCGAATACTCTAACCTATCAGTCGTTCAAGTTGATAAATACTATTTATATCATTCTCCTTCAAGACTGTACGTACGATATGAATTGACAATAATGTTAGCAAATGAATCATGGAAGGAAATAAAATAAAAAGAAATAAATATTCATACGATACAAGATTTATATAGTTTTTATTAAGTTTTCAATCAGTTATAAATATAAAAAATATTATCTATATTTATAGCATAAATAATTATAGTTGTTAAAAAAAATCATTTATGAGCCTATTCAACTAATAAAACTATCGAGTTAATTCTATATAACGTAATAAACTATAAATTATATTTACGTCAGTTTTCATAATTTAACAAATAATGCTTCAAAATGCCTCGGTCATCAAGATTTGTCCTTTCCCCTTTCTTCTACTTGTCTTCTTCCTAAATTTTACACATCATGCTGCAAGAAGAAAATGGGGTATCACAATTAGTTGGTCCATGGTCTCCAATGGTGAATAGATTCACCTAATAATTTCTCCCTTTTTTTCGCTATAGGACATTATTTCAGTTTTGTTAAAAAAATACAAAAATTATAATCCACTAGTTAAAAAAGATACGAAAACTCAAAATGATAGGATGTAAGTTCTTTGGTGGACTAAAGATCCTTGGAGTAGTCATAACTCATAACTGTTGAAGAAGCCATGATGCTTAGCTTCTACAGAAGACACCTTAACTCGCCAAGTCCTTCAGGAAGCAGAAAGGAACATTAATTCTTCACATATGAAATGGAGGGTAAAACATATTTATCATAGGGCCTATTATAATGTTCCTTTCTGCCATAACAGGATCAACTTGGCCTTTCGTTCAATCAAAATTTCTGAACTTTATCCTTCTAGGTTACGCCTCTCCACTATAAATTTGGCGTGTAGAGAAGAAAGGGCCATTTTACCTTGCATATTTCTTTCTCCGCTTGCATTGCTGTTTACTGATATCTTCTCAGCTTTTTTCTGGGCTGAACGGTTGAAATGGGAAAGGTCTGTTGCTTTCAAGTGAAATAGACCAAAAAAAAAAAAAAAAGAACAAATTAATTCACGGTTAATGTTTTTCTTCTAGTGCTGGCTTTTTAGTTTGTTCCTTAGTATGTTTCTTGTGTCCTTGCCGCAGTATATTGGGTGATAGTCTGATTGTTGGAGGTCTTTTTTGTGTCCTGTGGGGAAGAAATGAGGCTGAGAATCAAGAAATGCTTAGAAGTGATGACTCTCCAGCAAAGAAATGCCCAGATATTGGAAATAATGACTTTTCCTGTGCTTAAGTGTTTCTCTCGTATATAAACTGCTTCTCTTGTATTTTCTTTTAACAGACAAACTATCAACAGGCTGATGAAAGACCTTACAAAAAAATTTTGAATGTCATGTCAAGCACCCATAACCGATCAACGAGGAGACATAAAGTGTTAGTTGAGCTGTTAAAATAATATTCCTAGGAATGGAAGTTTGCTCTTGAACAGTACATGCTCCTGTAACAAACCGCTCCAGAATATATTTATCAGTTTGTGGTCATAGAATTACAGCAGAAAAGCAAAAGCATCTTAAGTTAGCTGGCTCCTGGTTCAAGCATGTTCTTTTGAGTTATAGTGGGCTTGCTTCTTATCTAGCATGTTGCTGAACTGATGTGAATTCCACTAGCTAGCTAAAGAAGAGATGTCACTGCTTCACACAAGACTGAGAATGGCTAAAGAAAGAGATGTCATTGTTTCACACAAGAAGTGGCTGAGATTGATCCTTTATCAATATTTAAAGGGCAAACTGATCAAGTGTTCCGTCTTCCGTTGCAAACTGATCAAGGTGTCTTGTTTTGAATAAACTTCCACGGAAGGCCTATTAATTGTAGAAAAACCTAGAAGAAATGGAGTGCTAATATTCTCGGACTATTCACATGCTCTCGTTTCCTATTTGCTTACTATGCATGCTAGTAAATATGCTAAAATCAAACGTAGTTTTAGCATAGTCGTTAAGCTTTTTTTAGCTTTTTGTGAATTTTTTTTTCGGCGTTCATTTGGGTTCTTATTTTTTGATATTTTAATTTTGATCATTGAAGTTTTGATAGTGTGATTTTTGACCCATTATGCAAAAAAGCTTTTTTTTACTTCTTCGTTTTGGTTCTTACATGATACTTGTATTTTGATTTTTTAAAATTTGAAATTATTCTTATCGTACTCATTTTTATTGTTGTACGTTAAATTTTTTAAAAAAATTTATTGAATTATTGAAAAATATAGGTTTTTTATTTGATTTTAATACATTATAGGAGTAAATTAGCATGTCTATTTATTAAATTTTTTTTTTTTTTTTTTTTTGTCTTGCAAATAAAAATATGATTTTTTTGGGAGAAATTGGTTATATTTAGGAGTGTAAGTGAAAAGATTTTATAAATTTTGATATCAAATATGAAGAAGAAAAATAACAAACCCAAATAAAAAAGGACTAAATTAAATTCTCCAAAATTTTAATGTTCCTAAGCCCCTTTTTTGGCTCTCGGCTAAAGTTTTTATTTTTTTCATCCATATTATGTGATTCTTGTTTTGTTTTCATCATTAATATTTTGTTGTGTGTGCCTTTTGTTTCTATCTTGATGCATAGTGTGTTTTTTTTTTTTAATGTTTCTATATCTTTTTAGTAAAAAATTTCTTTCTATTTTGGTTTTTTATTTTTGTTATTAAATTTTGTCGTTTTCCATGTATATAAAATCTCAACTATTTTGTACTATGTCAAGCTAAAACAAAGATTTTTACATCTATTCGCTTGTGTCGACATAATATTTCTTTTCTTTTCTTTTTTATCCAACAATATCTAACAAGTTTGATCATATCAATTAGACACACAAACTATAGATTAAAAAAAAAGGTGAAAAATATGACCATTAAAGATTCAAGAAGCTATTACATCATTATTTTAATTGCTAGTTGTTATATATATATATATATATATATATATAAGACATGATTATATCAAGTAATATTTAATTAACAATATTATATTGCTTAACATTGTAGATGTTTCCTTTGAATTTTTTTGCATAGTCTTTTTAAATAAGCTGTTTTGCACGAAATTTTTTTTATTGCGGTCATTGTTTTGTATATTATTTTCATATTATTGTCTAATAAAAAGTCAATATGAGATTATTTATTTTTATTCCTATAAGGTAGATTTATCTAAAATTGTTAAAATAATTTCTTTACATATTGTTTTAAACTATTTTATTACCACTATTACATGAATTGTTAAAACTCTCTCTTTTATATAGTTGAACACATAAGAAGGTCGGCTCGGAATGCATGCTAGTAAATATACTAAAAGTAGTTTTGTTGTAGCTAAGCTTTTTTTTTTTTTTTTTTTGGCTTTTTGTGAATTTTTTGTTCAATTTAATCCATGTTTTGTGATTTACCTCTATTTTGGTCATGTGATTTTTGGCTCTACATGTTGCAAAGGTTTTTTGCTTCTTCATTTTAGTTCTATTTTATAATTTTATTTCGATCTTTTAAAATTTAAAATTATTCTTATTGTCTTCACTTTTATTATTATATATTCATTTTTATTTAAAATAATTTATTGAATTATTGAAAATAGGCTCTTTGATTTGATTTTATTACATAACTGAAGTAAATTAGCATATCTATTTATTTAAATAATTTTTCACGTTCTGCGAATAAATAATTTGTTTTTTTTTTTTTTGAGAAATTAGTTATATTTAGGATTGTATATGAAAGATTTTATAAGTTTTGATATCAAATATGAATATGGAAGAATAACAACACCAAAGACCTAAAAAAATACTAAATTAAACTTTTTATTTCTAGATGAAGATAATGTAATCTCTAAAATTTTACTATTCCTAAAGCCCTTCTTTGGCTTCTGGCTAAAATTTTCTTTTTGTTTTGGTTCATGTTATGCAATCCTTATTTTGTTTTGATCATTGAAGTTTTTTATGTGTGATTTTTGTTCCTACCTTATGTATAATAGGTTCTTTGGTTTTATGTGCTTTTTTTTTTTTTAGTGAAAATTTTCTTTTTATTTTGGTCTATGTTATGTGACTTTTATTTTATTTTGATCATTGAAATTTTATCATTTTACATGTATATAAAACCTCTATCATTTTGTACTGAATCAAGTTAAAACAAAGCTTTTTTAGGTCTATTTATGTATCCCAATAAATTTTTTTATCATATCAAGACAAAAAAATTATAGATTAAAAAGAGATAGTGAAAACTATCACCATTTAAGATTCAAAAGGTTGCTACATAATTATTTTAAGCTGTCGGTTGTTACACATACATAATTATTTTAATTTTCAGTTGTTATACATATTTTAATAAAATGATTGATTGTATCATGCAACATTAATTAGCAATATTATATTTCTCAACTTGACATGTTTATTTTATTTATTTATTTGAATTTTTTAAAATTTGTTCCACTTAGTCCTTTTAAATAATTGTTTTACACATAATGCTTTTTATTGCAGTCATCATTAGGTTTTTTTTTATATTATACTGTTTTAAACTATTTTATTACAGCCATTATATAGATTTTCAGAACTCTTTATTTTATATGGTTCTTTATTTTATAAGGTTGAATACATGAAAATACTGTGTAATTGACATCGCGAAAACGCGCAAGATGCGCGCTAGTGTTTCTCTATTAATAGACAAATGATGACATAAGGAACAGCTTGCTAATGGCTGACAAAGGGTCCACTAAATTCAATGACTTGTTAGTGGTAGTTAATGCCCTCAGGCCTCATCCATTTGCCTGCTAATGGTAATGTTGTCATGAATGGACTATCATTTAGTTCCAGCCCACTGCTTTATGCCCAGTTTTTTTGGTCTTTTTCTTTCTTTTGTTCAAACATAGCATCACATTGCATTTGTGTTCTTTCAGATCAGCAACTTTTGGAAACCAGCTATAGCAGAAAATACTGAAAAAGAAAAGTACTATAGATCACAAAACCAGCTACATTGATTCAACGTTATACCAATACCATATTTCAAATTGAGCACCAGGCTTAAAGATATTTGAAAGTGTTGTTTCCAAGAATCGTTGTTTCTACCGTTTTCCCTTTTCTTACACTCAAAACTAGAGTGGTCAAGCATGCTTTTGGCCCAATACCTTTTAGCACTACAAATTAAAAATATTTGGTGAAGAATTTGCATTTAAAAAAATTATTGAAAAAAAAAATCCATTCCTGCACCTCTCTCGTATCTGCGGTTGCATTAATCACACGTTAAAACTGTGAGTTTTTTTTTAAAAAAAAGAATATCCTAAAAGAAATGGAAGCGAATTTCTGGACTAAGCATATTTCTATATATGAATGCTTGAAAATACTATAATTAACTTCTGAATAGAATTGAAAGCCTGGTGCTAAATTTGAAATATGGTATTGGTATAACGTTGAATCAATCACATTGCCTATCGGACTACACAAACTAGCACGCATTCATAAAACCAGCTACATTGCATTTGCATTTTAATCAACAGTATGCCAAAAGAGGTTGAAGATTAAAAATAAAAGTTGCTCTGATCAAAATTTGACAAACTACTTTCTTTTATTCGATAGAGTACTATAGATCACAAAAATTGTTATTGCTGGAGTACAACATCTAAATGATTCATTATTTTAACAGTAGTATGGATTAGGTCAAACCCAGATTTCTTTCATGGAAGAAAAATACCAGGCGTAGACGTAGAGTATGAATATTATGACTGTATGTATGAATTGAGGAGAGATTTTTCTGACTGCTTCTATGTCTTCACTTCAAGGAGTTCTCAATATCAATTACAAACCGGTACTTCACATCGTTCTTTATCATCTTCTCAAGAGCTTCATTTATGTACTGAATTGCAATTACTTCGATCTTGGGGTAAATTTTATTAGCAGCACAAAAGTTCAACATCTCTTGGGTCAACCTGGTTCCACCTGTTGCGCTACCAGATACAGTTTTCCTACCTGCCGGAATGTTAGTTTGAGCAATTAATTTCGCTTGCAATTTTTGTTATCAATGGAAGACTATCAGAAAAAAAAAAAAAAAAAAAGAAGTCTGGGTTAAATTACCAATTAGAAGGTTTGCAGGACTCAATTGCACTTCACTTGGGAATCCAACAAGAACAAAAACACCAGCAGTCTTCAAAAGAGACAAGTATGGATCAAATGGTGATTTGGAAGGTTTGCAGGACTGATCGCCTGATGCTGTGTCGATTATAAAGTCAAGTGATTTGGAATAAGCCTGTGTAAAAATATCAAATATCATTAGGAGAATAAATCTTTAATTTAAAATTTTTTGAACAGCTGGAAACTGGAAAGAGGCCCCATTTCATTTTCCATTTACCAATCTTGTTGACGTTGGGCATTAATGCGACAAAGACGGGCCACTCCAAGCTTGCCAAGGCTAGTGATTCACCAATCCAATTATATTAACCTGATGGGCATGGCCTACCGAACCACCTACCAGTTTAAGAAGGAAGGCAGAACAGACAGTCTTGTTTATGGATCAGTTCGCCCCAATCCACAAAAAGCTCCAATCGTTCAAACACGCTAACTGTGCAAATTGATTTATAGAACTCATTGCTGTTAAATTAAAACAGTGACTTTCAATCCAAAAGCCTTACCAAACTTCACTGCCATGTGACCCAGACCACCGAGATCAATCACTCCAAGAGATTTACCAGGTTGGTTCATCTTATGTCTCACCATGGGGTTGTACACAATTCTTTAAAATGACATTGTTTAATAAGCAAATGCATCAATCAATATAACTGCGACTAAACTGGTAAGGCGATAAAACTCCAGATGGGTCTCTCGCCGCCCATGCAAGACAGTCCTCTTTAACGCTCTCAGAGCTCTTTGCTGAGTAAAAACCAAACCACCCTAAAGCAACGACAGTAAGTAAATAATAATTGCCAACATTGTATACATCATTACCTGATCAGTAGCATCTAGAGACATTCATAAACTTTACAATAAATCAAAAATAAAACAAAGAAAGATTTGAAAAGTTTATCATGGAACTTGTCAGTAGATTTGATGATAACTAATGCTTTTAGACAGACAGCAACGTATGAATCTAAGATGGGATTGACAGATTGAAAGTTTGAGTAAATTTAGATAAAAGGGCAATCAAATTTAATGTCACGTATAAACAGTAAATTCAAAGAAATTAATACTAAATATCAAATTGAAAGAAGATAGAGAGTGTCGTTCGTTATTACCAGTTAGCAGTTGAGCAACAAGATTCAAGCTGGTGGTGCTGGAAAGTTATGGATGAGCTGGGTCCCTTGTATACGTACCAATAGTGATAATGAGTAAATTATAAATTAGTCCCTCATGTTTTGAGAAAAAAATTAGATAGTTCTCCTTGTTTCAAAAATTATTTATTCAAAAACTATTTATTCAATTCTTTTTATTCATTTTATGTTATTTTCTTATTTGATTTTTTTTATAAAAAAAAAAAAAAAAAGCAATTGAAAAAACCAACCAATTTGAAGACTCCAAAATTCGACAAGTATGCTAGAACGGGATGTTGTAAAAACCATCTAACCATGTATATATGAAAGATCATATAAGAGACTAAATAATTAATTTTTTTAAATAAAAAAATTAATCAATTCGTTTCTTAAAACTAAAAATTTAATTTATAATTCACTCTATTAATAATCAAGGTGGAAGTGGATGCATTGACTAGGTTGTGCCAGGCTTAGGAAAGCAAGGACGTCAGATAATATCTTACCAAAGCACGCACGTCATATTTCATGAAACTCCATTTTCCAACTTCATTATGACTACATGGTTTAGGATTTGCTGCATCACTCTCTCATTAAGTTAAAACATGATTTAAAGTGGAGATCTTTTCAAACCTTAAATTTCTTAAAATGCCAAATCGATTGAAAAAATTATCACAGTTAGAATCATATGTTCTGATTTATTAATGTGATAAAATATTGATTGTGATGATCATAAATATTTTAACAATTATTAATAAATTTATTTTAATTTATATATTTTTATTAATTAAACATATTAATAAAATCGTTTAAATGGACTATAAGGTGTAAAGATTGAAATTTTAATTTTTTTTAATATTAATATTGTTATATAATGATAAATAAATTAAATGAATAGATATAATAGAAAGATTGATAAAAAAAATTTAAATTAAATTAAATTAATATAAAATTAAACATGATCTAATATTTATAATTAAGAGACTAAATAATTGGACTAATTTATAATTTACTCTAGTAATAATCCAGGTGGAAGTGGATGTATTGACGAGAGGTTGAACCAAGTTTTGCTATGCATGGCCGTCAGATGATATCTTACCAAAGCACGCATGTCATATTTCATGAAGAGAAATAAAGATCAACTCTTCAATATTTCATAAATTACTCTCTACCTATAAAAAGACTATGCATGAATTGAGAAGATATTACCTATTTGCCTCTATATCATCCTCTCGGGAGCTCTAAATTAATCCTTTCTTATTTTGTTGAGTGCATAAAACAAAAATAATTATTTAATCAGTTTTTTCATTAAAAAAAAAAACTCCATTATAAAATTATTTGTTTAAATAATTAAAAATTCTTTCGTTCAAATGTCTCACGTTTTTCAAGTGATGTGAGATGGCATATGTCATTGTAGAAGTTGTCCTTACGTCCAAAGCATGTCTCGGCGTAACAGTTTATCATTGATGGAGGAAAACGACAAGGAGGATAGCATGCCATTTTCTTACAATAAAATTAAATCTATTTTGACATGACATGCCTTTTTTTTAACAATAAAATTAAATCTATTTTGATTTAGCATATCAGTTTTGATATGAAAAATCAAATAGAATTTTATTACATGATCTCAAAATTTCAAATTAGAGCTTCCCTTCGTGTAGCATTTGATCTAGCATATCAGTTAAGACTGTAAATGTACAGTGTTTTTTAAGCTTAGTTTAAAGGGTAATGGTAAATAATTGGCAATTTATTAATTAATTTCTTAATCATTATTGATTATGATTAATTTAATATTATTTTATTTTAAAAATACTTTTTTCATTAATACTTTTAATTTTTTACTTCTTTTTTTCTATCTATTAAAACAAAACAAAAAACAAATTAAAAAGAACCAAAAGAATTAAGTTAATTTAAAAATATATGGACCAATTAAATAGTTTTTGAAATTAGAAGGACTATTTTTGCTGATTTCGAAAACATAGAGGGCCTAATTTATAATTTACTTCCCAAACGGTAAGTCGGTAAGGAACACTTACAGTTTCAAGTATCTCAAACTTAGAAATTCCTACTTATTGGCTCAGTGAAAAAGGACATCCAAGTAGCCCAGCTACGAGCTGCAAGGCATTAATTATGCAGAAAGGAACAAGCCATTTCACATGGCATGCTAGTTAAAATGGCATGCAATTGCAACCTCTAGTTTCTCCTATAAATATGGACAATCGTATCTTCATTTTCATCAGCTTGACAACTTATATATCAAAATAAGAGTCTGTTCCTTCCTCACCTAGTCATGGCTCCCACTGCTAACCTACTCCTAGCCGACCTTGCTTCTTCAGGTGTGAAACAAATTCCATCTAAGTACATCCGTCCCATCTCCGACCGTCCGAATCTCTCCGATCTTCAGATTTCGGATGGCTCCACCATTCCTCTAATTGACCTTCTGGGTCTTAATGGTCCTAACCACTCTCTAATAATCAAACAAATTGCCCAAGCATGCAAGAATGATGGCTTCTTTCAGGTAATAAAACTATGTTCATTTTTTGTTACTTCTTCCTCATTTACATCTTTCTTTTGCTTTGCCAGGACCGCGTGTAAGTGTTTTTGTTGTATTTTTGAGCTTTGCGCCCTTCTAATTAATAAAAATCTATATGCTTGTTTTTCTTACAAAATACATGTACGTACAATTGGTGTCAGGTGGAGAACCACGGGATACCAGAGGAAATGATCAACAACGTACTAAACATGGCTAGAAAATTCTTCGAACTGCCCGAAAGTGAAAGGTTAAAATATTACTCTGATGATCCTACTAAGACAACCAGGTTGTCTACCAGTTTTAATGTTAAGACAGAACAAGTTTCTAGCTGGAGAGATTTCTTGAGACTTCATTGTTACCCTCTTGATCAAGACTACATACGTGAATGGCCTAGCAATCCTCCATCATTCAGGTAATTGAATGTGTCTGAAATTTGTTTAATTTTTTCGTTCTTATTTTTTAGCTGCTGTTTAGATTAGTGGACATCATACCTTTTGTCTTTCTTTCGTTCCCGTTTTCCAGGAACGATGTGCTTGAATATTGCAAAAGTGTTAGAGGTCTAGTGTTAAGACTGCTTGAGGCCATATCAGAAAGTTTGGGGCTGGAAAAGGACTATATAGATAAGAAATTAGGGAAGCATGGACAGCATATGGCTATGAACTACTACCCACCCTGTCCACAGCCAGAGCTCACGTATGGATTGCCTGGACACACTGACCCTAATTTAATCACCATTCTGTTTCAAGATGACGTGCCTGGATTGCAGGTTCTGAGAAATGACAAATGGATTCCTGTGAATCCCATTCCCAACACCTTCATCGTCAACATTGGTGATCAAATGCAGGTGAACCTTTCTATCCTTTCCTATTTAAGGACAAAACATTTATAAAAAATGGGGTTTCAGTTAATGCAAGAGTAAATTGTAAATTAGTCTTTCTATTTTTGCAAAATGAATTACGAAGTTTTTTTTTAAAAAAAATTAATTAATTAGTCTTTTTCGTTCATTTCATTAAGTTATTTAAAAAAAAAAAAACAAAGTAATATTAAATTAAAAAACTTACTAATTAGTTTTTTTTTTTTTTTTGATTGTTGTGTTATGATTAGGTCCTTAGCAATGGTCGTTACAAGAGTGTGCTTCATCGAGCAGTGGTTAACTGCGACAAAGAACGAATATCTATACCGACGTTTTATTGTCCTTCACCGGATGCTATAATTGGACCTCCAAAAGAGCTGATCAATGATGATTATCCGGCGGCAGATTATACATATGTGAAGAATATTACGAGAAGTTTTGAAACAAAGGGCTTATCAAAGAATTAATGTTGCTTGGACTTGTTCAAAGCTTCTAATGATTCAGCTTGGGATGTTTTAAATAATGAGAGTCTCATCTCCATTTTAGCGCTAGACAATCACATATGCTCTTTTGGGTAATAAAAGGAAAAAAAGGGACCTAAACTAATGTCATCTTATTTGAGAGTGTGGCTGGCAACAAAAGAAAACAGAAAGAGAAAGAAAGAAAACAAAGTATGTTCTTCATTTTTATTGCCGATCAAATTGTGATTTGTTATTTCTGATGATGAGCTTTTCAACTAGAATAGTGTTAATAATGAAAAAGATTTTATCTTTGAATATTTAAATCTTTAAATCTTTTTTTTTTTTTTTTAATTTTGGACAAAAACACTGTTATTTGAAACCTACAATGCCATATGTCGATCAACGATTTGTGAACATTAATAATAATGTGTCACGTTAGATGAATAGTTGACGTAGTTATAACGGAGGGTCATAATCAATAAATTTATAAGACTAGAGGATTTTAATCAGACTGAACAATCGTATAGGGTCTCAACTAAAAAAATTAAAATTACACAAGGACCAAATGTAGGATAAACTTAAAAATTAAGTAAAAAAGTCTGGAGTAAATTACCAATTAGAAGACTTGCAGGACTGAATTTCACTTCACTTGGGAATCCAACAAGAACAAAAACACCAGCAGTCTTCAAAAGAGATACGTATGGATCAAATGGGTGTTCGCCTGATGCTGTGTCGGTTATGAAGTCTAAGTGATTTGGAATAAGCCTGTGTAAAAATATCAAATATCATTAGGAGAATAAATCTTTAATTTGAAATTTTTTGAACAGCTGGAAACTGGAAAGAGGCCCCATTTCATTTTCCATTTACCAATCTTGTTGACGTTGGGCATTAATGCGACATAGACGGCCACTCCAAGCTTGCCAAGGCTAGTACGGTCTTAAGAAAATGAATGTGATCAAAAGCCAGACCCACCTACCAGTTTAAGTTATTTTTATAGAACACGCTAAGCAAATGCATTGTTCAAACACGCTAACTGTGCAAATTGATTTATAGAACTCATTGCTGTTAAATTAAAACAGTGACTTTCAATCCAAAAGCCTCACCAAACTTCACTGCCATGTGACCCAGACCACCGAGACCAATCACTCCAAGAGATTTACCAGGTTGGTTCATCGTATGTTGCTTCATGGGGTTGTACACAATTCTCTAAAATGACATTGTTTTATAAGCAAATGCATCAATCAATATACCTGCGACTAAACTGGTAAGGCGATAAAACTCCAGATGGGTCTCTCGCCGCCCATGCAAGACAGTCCTCTTTAACGCTCTCAGAGCTCATTGCTGAGTAAAAACCAAACCACCCTAAAGCAATGACAGTAAATAAATAAAAATTGTCAACATTGTAGACATCATTACCTGATCAGTAGCATCTAGAGACATTCATAACTTTTACAATAAATCAAAAATAAAACAAAGAAAGATTTGAAAAGTTTATCATGGAACTTGTCTGTAAATTTGATGAAAACTAATGCTTTTAGACAGACAGCAACTTGTGAATCTAAGATGGGATTGACAGATTGAAAGTTTGAGTAAATTTAGATAAAGTTCAATCAAATGTGATGTCATATATAAACAGCAAATTCAAAGAAATTAGTACTAAATATCAAATTGAAAAAATATAGATAGTGTCGTTTGTTATTACCAGTAAGCAGTTGAGAAACAAGAAATTAAAAAGGTTGTGCTGGGAAGATAACGATGAGCTGAGTCTCTTATATACGTACTAATAGTAATAATGAGTAAATTATAAATTAATCCCTTGAGAAAAAAATTAATTAGTTCTCTTTATTTCAAAAACTATTTATTTTATTTATTTTATTCATTCATTCATTTATTTATTTTATTTTTGTGCCTAGCTAATAAAAATCTGATATTTTTTTTGGAGAAATTGGTTATATTTAGGGTTATAAGGGAAAAGATTTTATAAATTTTGATATCAAATATGAATACGAAAAATAATAAACCCAAATAAAAAAGGACTAAATTAAATTCTTCAAAATTTTAATGTTCCTAAGCCCTTTTCTGACTTTTAGCTAAATTTTTTTTTCTATTTTTTGTCCATATTAGGTGATTCTTATTTTGTTTTCATCATTAAAAATTTGTTATGTGTGATTTTTACTTCTATCTTAATGCATAGTGTGTTTTTTTTTTTTTTTTTTGTTTCAATGTTCCTATATCTTGTTTGTCTTTTAGTAAAAAATTTCTTTCTATTTCGATTTTTTATTTTTGTTATTAAAGTTTTATCATTTTGTATGTATATAAAATCTCAACTATTTTGTACTGTGTCAAGCTAAAATAGAGTTTTTTCCATCTATTCGCTTATGTTGACATAATCTTTCTTCTTCTTTTTTTAATCCAACAATATCCAACAAGTTTGATCATATCAATTAGACAAAAAAAACTATAGATAAATAATAATAATAATAATAAAAGATTGAAAATATGACCATTAAAGATTTAAAAAGTTGTTACATCATTATTCTAATTGCTAGTTGTTATATTTGTTTTTTGATAAAATACATGATTGTATCAAGTAACATTTAATTAACAACATTATATTGCCCAACATTGTAGATTTTCTTTAGAATTTTTTTGC